GCGGGGAGAATGTTTAGGAGACAAAAAGAACAGTGAAGAGGAAGGAATGTAGAGGTTTTTTCTGGGGCCGCACACGGCTATTGGGCCCAATACACTCGGTAGATGATTCCAACTAGCCGTGAGCGAGCGAATGGCCTGGGGTAGAATCATAGAATATCACTCTCTACCTTTAGAAAACCATTTTTCGGATTTTCCTGACCATACATTCGTGAGCAGTGCGGTTTTGAAGTGCACTCTGAGTTTCCCCAGTATATTGTTTTCTCTCTTCTCTCTTATTATGTATCGCCCTTCGAAAAATCTGCGTACTATCTGGATCACCTGATAAGGTCGCCAATCTATGCATACAGCCCAACATAAACCTCTCTTGCACGCTGGGAGTGGATTCTACTGTCACCAAAAATGCGCTAGCCTTAGTTAGAACGCCAGCAGAGAACTAGGGAGGGTTTCCATGCAAAACGCTTCAACGAGATAAACACTACAGTGAGTCAGGACCTAAGGGGAGCAAACCCCGACCCTCAGTCTCTAGTGGAGTCCCACTAGTCTAATTGTGTCCCTTCTTATCATACTTGCTTCAGTTCCGCCAGCCTCTCCAGGGTTACCGCATTTTGGGGGCGTGGAGGGGGCCAGCTCCCAGAAAGTGTTGAAGTGCAATAGTATCCACGCACCGAGGGTGTCGTGAATCCCTTGATGGTGTTTTCTCCCTTCCATCCCTTCCGTTCGGGTTGGGGTATTAGTGGGGTAAGTGCTACCATATTATATTCTCAAACATGCTTTTCATCATTTCCGCACGTGGTGAATTATTATAGACAAGTATGGTTTCTTGCCTCCCCTCTTCCGAGGTCACTCCCTGGCAACTCTGTCGGTTCTACCATCATCATGCATTAACCCCCTGTATTCTGCAATCCCTGCTTTTTTATCTTGTTTTCCCTTATTTTATATTCAGCCTGTAACTCCTATCTGTTTTTCCCATATTCCTTCTCTTTCTTTCCTTCGCAGTGTTTGCACGTCCACATTTTGCTTTCCTATCCTCCTCTTGTTTTTCTCTCTTTCCTCACCTCCATTAAATTTTTGTCCACATTTCGCATTTTTCATTCTCTATTGTTATCTTCTCAGGTTCCTAAGGTTATAATCTATCCAGCAAGGCCTCCTTCCTTCTGCCCAAGCCCCAACCACCTGAGAATATTGATGCATCCCCTAGCACACCAGCCAGTGCTGAGGGAAGCAAAAAAAAAAAGAAAAATAAATGAATTTAATAGATACCTCAGACTTTGCTCAAAGCACAAAGGAAGGCCTCTAGTAGTCCATCCATGGGAGTAATATCTCAGAACAACCGCTTTTGGCTCGGGCGGCGGGCCCACACGCGATCGCAAGGGACCGGAGAGGAGATGCGGGGCAGTCGGGCGTGTTGAAAATGGCAGTTAAGTACCCGTAGCTCAGACTGGAGGCTACAGTGGTGTGCGTACCTCTCAGATGAGGACGCGTAAGCAGTGAAAAGTTTTCACCTTATTTCTTTCCTATTTCTTTTCTTTTCTTTTCTTCTCAACCTTCTCAACCCTCAAGTCGACAACGAACTCCACTCCACACCTCTTGTATGAAACTCTCCTCACTCCTTATTCTCTACTCTTCACACACATACAATACAAGGTTCCCTCATTACCATTAGAGCCAACTCAGTCCACTGCGTAAAACCCACCTTTCAGTCATTACTGTTGCAACGACAACCTGTTTTATCCTGTCTGTCGTCCTCAATTTCCAACAGGGCGTGGTTGTGGCTTCCTGAGTGATGTTTCATGATTGCTGCCAGCAGATATCCACTCCAAAAAAACTGAAGACAAGTGGAATGAATGAGCCTGGTGGGAATCTCGATGTTTTGAATTCGAGAATATGTCCTCTTCTTAGGAGCCTATTTTGGGCTCTATTTGCTACCCCGACAACTTTGGAGGCACTCCGCATCTAAGGGAAGCATTACTGAGGTAGCAGGCATATCCCGAACTCTATGCGACTGCAGAGTATCTATTGAGAGGGTTGAGAGAGACACCGCGAGACCATGTGAAGCAGGTTTACAATCAGAATGCGTATTCTGAGCGATAAATAAATAGACCGCCTGATACGGTGCCGAGAATAATAGGGTAGCGAGAATCACCGCTTCTCTCTAATGAGTCAGCATTTTCATTCAATTTAAGCACCATATCTCCTCCAAGAGAAGTGTTGGTTCTCGCTACCCTATCGTCCCCGGCACCCTATCAAACAATCTACGATATAAGGGACCATGGAGGATGGGCGTTAATCTCTAGGGTTTACGGCGGAGTATCGCACCCCCTGGCCCATTTTCTCTCCGGCCCTTGGCCTGTGAGGTGTAGACCGTCTGGGCACCGAAAAAAAAAAAGAGACGGACGGATACTATTGGAAACACTGGGCTCCTGCTGGGTGCCAAATCACCAGGAGCTAGGTGTTATTTGGTTAAACATCTTGGACCTGTCACAAAACTGGCAGATCATCCGCCACTCCCTCGGGATCCCGGGGATCCTACGATAGTCTTATGGCGTGTATGATACTGGAACAGGAAAAAACGGGAGCACATGATCTAAGAGTATAATTTGTGGCATCCAGAACTTATACCAGTCTAAAACTTCTCAATCGATTATATCATATATATCAAGGGCTCAATCACTTCAAAAAAAAAAAAAAAAAAAAAAAACCCCTCTACACTATGCTCCTTAGTATTCCCAATAGTACAGAGTTTTTTTCTTGAATCAATATTTTAACATGGTGGAGGCGTATAATCACTTTAAAAATGGTAAATCCTCGTGTAGGTTTTGGATGGCACGAATCGTACTAATCAGATATGTTGCAGTCCTTTCTCCCTTCCGGATTCCCTCCCCCATCTGCCGCCAGCAACGAGCAACAGAGTCAACAAATATCTCCGACTTTGTGGAAAAGTAGAAGAGAAAGCTTCCCCAGATCTCCATTTTATCTAGCGACGAGTGTTATGCTTCGGGGGCGGGTGGTCAAGCTATAACCGGAGTGAATTTTTTCCAACCCCCTTGAGATCTCGTAGAGACTCTACAAATCTTTCTAATGATGTACTGTGCTCAAAGGAGCCATGTGCCTTCTGGGTCAGCCAGTGAGGCTGCTGCCTTATGCACAGAGTGATGGTGGGTCCGATGGTGTGTTCTATTGTCTGAGTGATGATACTCAGGCAGTGTTTGGCTTGCGTGGTTTTAAGGTGATACCTTTTACAAACTGCGGTTTGAAAAACCTCAAAAAATATGGCTTAATAATAAACGTTTCAAAATACTCATGACTGGTTAATCTCAGTGTTCCTTCTCCCATAACATAACATTAACACTATCACATTTTCAGCACCGTTATTCAGGGTCCGAGCCCAACTAACTACAAATTGTTTCCTCACCTTGCAAAAGTTCCTAAAGGTGTTTATCGACAACACATGATACCCTATCATACAAACCGCATTTCGGAGAACCTTACAAATCACGACGAGCCGAATACCCCCTTATAATAATATCATACAGGTATGATGCTAGTGCCAATATCCGCCAAGCTTTCCAACCCCTCCATCATGCTAACCCCGCACCGAGCCCAACATTAGAGGGTTTCCGCAGAGACAGCCAGGCAGTGTCACCACAGGTTAACGAACAAGGCATAGCATGGCGGTTCCCCTTACTTACCCCCCACCTTGCAGAGGTGAAAAGTGCATGAGATTGGGACCCGGAATTGAGGAACCGATAACCTTTTTGCCCTTATGAGGGTGTGATCATGTAGGCTCGCACCTCAAACATAGCACTAACAAGAGCTCTCTCCCAAGATTTCATGATATTATGATATGTATGATGTCATACTCCTCCAAGATTGTCCGCCCTATGATTGACCTCTCAGGGGTACGGTACAGTGCACATTTTGCAGGAAGAAGACATTCGTCGCAGATTTTCCAAAGGCTTTGATGTACAAAAGAAAAAACTCCTATCATCATACCTATGTCAGGCTGTGCAAACCCTCTATTATTTACACCTAACGCACTGTCCCCCCTACCCGGAGCGGGCCCCTGCTCTATCGCCCCCGCCAGACCAGAGGAGCAGCAACCCTGGAGAGGGGCAGGCGGGATGCAAGCGAGCAAGGTTGAAAGGAAATTTTACACGCAAAACACCCGAACGGATACAAGCGCTATATACTGTGGGTCAGGGCGTATGGGAGTAAGCTCCGATGCTCGGGGTCTCGAGTGAGGCCTTGGGCACGATAGAGTAGTGTACGGGACCGGGTCCTAGGTTCGAGGGCTCAACTTTATCTATTATAATATTATTATGATAATAATATGATACAACATTTCCTTCCTTCCTTCCTTCCTTCCGCCCCTACAATCTCACTCTCGATTCACCCAGTTATTCAAGCAGCTTTTCCGTCTATCCATCCTACCTCGCAATTTCCTTCTCCTGTGCAAGTGCCGTGGGCAAAGCAGGCGGTTGAAAACATTACGCTATCCGGATGAAGCTTTTGTTCTCCGACAAGGACTATTACCAACAACCGCCCAACCAGGATTTACCAATGTTCGGAGAATTGAGTCATGTCGGACGTCGCAAGTATAGTGCCGTACCGTATTGGATCTACCACGCTTCCAAACTTCAATATATTCTACGCCCTGTTTGGCTCGACCAACAGAAAAAAGGTTGGAAGTGGAGGGAGGTCAACCATTAAGTATGTAGTGGTGACTCAAACCATCACCTGTCTTGGCGACGGATAGGTGATTTCAGCTTGTGGCGAAAAATCGCGGCTTGATGTGCATGGAGGCCCCGGACGGGTGATAGATGGTGATTGGGTTGGAGAGATCCATGAGTGACTTATGAGAGAGAGAGGTGGCATGTCAAAAAAAAACCGCCATCTCTTGCACCGGGTCAGCTTTATCCCGACAATAACCTGCCGAGTGCCAGGATAATAAAATTGATTGAACGCCTAAGAGCACATTCCATGTCGTGAAAAAGGTACGCTAAGCACATAAGCACGGGGGACAGCAGCCTAGGCACCAGTGACAACTTTCCGTTAATACCAGCATTCGCACATTGGCTATGATACCCCCAATAACGTCTAATTTCAAAATAAACATTGAGAAAAAAAAAAAAAACTAAATTAATTTGACCACATCATGGAATAGGAAAAGAGGAAAGACATCCCTGATCGCGCCATCCCCGAAACCACCGCTGAGAAATATCATGACAAAAAGAAATAAAAGCTATCTACTCATGCACGTTCCTAATGATTACTGGCTGGCAGTTCCCATGCGGGCCTATACCCAACAATAGGGGTCTCATTCGCCGGAGCTTCTGCCAGCTGTTGCTCGGGATATGGCTTTGGCGTGGATGGGTCGTCGTGTCCGTGGGCGAATCCAGGACTCTGGATCGGCTGTGGGACATATTGCTGCAGGTGTTGTTGCTGCGTGTACTCCGCCATGCCCCCACTCTGAGCCGGGGCCGTCGGCTTCTTTTTGAAGAATAGAAAGAAGACACCGAGCGCGAGTGCACCTAATCCTGCTGCCCCACCGATAGCGATACCCGCGATCGCACCTCCAGACATAGGTTCTGAGTCTGTGCCTCTTGAAGTGGTAGCCGACGGAGGAGCGGTAGAGTGTGTTACGGTGACGATAGAGGGGCTGCTTCCAGGCTTAGTTGTCCCCGTCAGTCCCAGATCGCTACGCCTGGAGGTGAGGACGCCGATTCCTGGGGTGTTCCCGTTCAAGTAGTAACTGTTTGTGTAGGTTGGATTCGAGGTCTGTTCGCAGTGAGGGTATACGGCGTCGTTGGGGACTACTTCAGTGTTGCAGTATGGAAAGGCTTCTGTGCTGGAACGGAGTTAATCATCAAAATCCGGGGCGAAACATCCTCAAGAAATATACCAGCAAGCAGTACCACACCCGGCGGTAAAATCCCTGCAATCCCCCCCGCGGGCACACCTTGCGATATTACTACCCTCGTTCATTAGTACTAGTACTCGATATTCTCTGGGAAGAGACGAACGTTTCATAACAGCATTGTCCAGTAGAAGACACAACCACACAGTTCCCCTTAAACCCGCGTACCGAAGGGCATTGCACTAAATACGGGAACCGTTAGAAATATCGTCAACCACAAAATATCACAGAAAACTCACCATCCGCCATGACCCCCGTGCAATAAAAATTAGCAGTCGCTCTCTTCACCAGATCCGGATGCGGTGGAGGCGTGACAATCGCTCCCATGGCCCCTATAACCCCCGTGGGCGGCCCTGGGATACATTGTGCTGGCGGGGCGAGGAAAAGTTGAGGAACAAGACGCGCTTCAACAACAGCCAATATCGAAAAACTGAAATATCGAATCCTCATCGTGAAGGATGGAAAGTGCAGAAACGAGGAAGAAGAAAAGGAGTAATGGAGACAGCCATGGTGTTGCCGAGCAAGAGGGACGGGGTTGGTGAGTTTTCAGCTCCAGGAAAAAAGCAAACATCTGCCTTCCAGTTTTGCCCAGGGGGCTTTATTCTGACCAATGAAATGGAAGGGGGAAAAAGCCGATAACTAATCCCCTTGCGTTACAAGCAATAGTTCTATCATACTCGCTTTCCCATTGCCGCAACGTGGGGGGGTTTTTTTCGCCTAACCGACTATGGTATCCTACCGATTATCATGGTCTCGATGACTGAAGGTAGACTATCACACCATTGATGTGAGACTCCCCAATCCAACTTTCCCCCTTACTTGTACAGTACGAGTACCTGTACGAGTACTCGAGTACCGGTATATTGGACTATCCCTTTCGAATAATCCATATCACAATGAATGAAAGAAAAATATTTTCCCACGGAATAAACTTTCCGCTTACATCAAATTGTAAGCAAAAATACTCGTATACCGGTTTCAGCTCTCGAGTACAGCATAAATGCCGGTACTTGTGCAATCACAGTCTACTTTAGGACACATGTGTAACCCAGTTATGATACAAGTAGGGTACCATTGAAAAAGAGACCACAAGCTTTTCACCGATGAGAAGCGCTGTATATAAGCTTCGGCCAACCTAATCGGGCTCTTAAGCACCAATTTGGGGGAATTATCTTCCAACCACACCCACTACAATACAGTACCGGTAACTCGGTGCGGGGTCTATAATACAGCATTGGAGTTCATGGCATGTCACTCGGCAATAGATGAGAACTGCGCGGGTGGTGGCATACTGTGGCTCTGTCATAAGGCACAATGCTTGTAGAGATGGGAATTGCACGGGAGGGAACACTCGTTCTCAGTCGGGGCATTTGTGCCGTAGGTTGGGCTAGCCTGGGGGTGATTGAATCGTGGAGCCAGGGTTCGGTCCGCGCCTACCGGGAGCTGGTCAATGTTAGCGGCTGGTGGCATATACGGGTGCCTATAATCATGGGAATTGGGGGTTGTATACAGTAGTAGGATTTGGAGTTGGGTGGACTAGGAGCAGGGCTCGGCGTTCGTGAATCATATTTCTCCTTGGAATTATAGCCTCGATCGTAGCTAGGTATCATAATACGTCCAATCATTCCATCCACCAACACACCCGTATATCAGCCAACTACCGCGCATCAGGCGAAACAGGAAATACGAAGCAAAGGAGAAAAAAGAAAAAAAAGCGAGGGAACAAGCAAAAATCTCCTCATATTTATGATTAACGCTGGTGTAACTTTGTCACCCGGAACCAAACCCCGACAATCCTGTATAACCATTACCTAACTGCCCATCATTGTCCATCAATTGCACTCCATTTACATTCAAAGCAAACCATCTCCGTTAACCTCCCTAGGTTTCCTGAGGAAACATTATACCCACCTCAATCCTCTCCAAGTCCTCCCATCCCGCCCCCTCGGCCCTTAACCATCCATCACCACCACCACCTATGCTTCCTCCATCTTCATCCATCAAAACCCTGAGCATGGTCCTCGTCCCGCGCTCCCCACCCATCTCGACTCTAAGCTTCAAATTTACAATAATCGAAAACCCCCTGAGCATCTTATTGACTCCTGATTGCAACTCTTTGACCGAGCTACTACCCAATGGGGCTGCAGGATCCCACTTGAGGTCTATAAGATTTGGCGCGCAGAGATGGTTCTCTAGACAAATCTTTAGATTGCGTCGTGGGATGGCATCGCTACGGCGGGAATCTACCAAGGCGGTAATCAATGGGAGGACAGCGGAGCGGAGGGAGTCGAGGATTTCATGGGGAGGCTTTTGGTGGGGGATAGTCCAAGGGATGTGTTGGGGGAATGGAGAAGAGCTCCGGTGACGAACGTGTGGGCCTGGCTGAATGGATGGTGAGAGCTGGGAGATGCCTTGGCGAGGGGAGAGGGATTGGGGTGATCGGGGTGAAGCTCGAGGTGGAGAGGGTGCTAGGACAAGCTGTGTCTCTCGGGTAGCAGCCGGCATGGTCGTGCTTCTAGACTCTAACGGTGCCGAAAAGGCCCCACTCGGGGCGTGTTGGGGGGCTGTTACGGGCTGTGGTGGTGGTGGGCGATAACTTCCTGGGACAGGAGAGGTTATTGATTGTGACAGTTGGGAGATACCCCCACGGGAAGGGGAGAGGATATCCCGGGAGCCCGGAGAAGGAGAACCCGGTACAGGCGTATCCAGCAACGAAGGAGGTGGCGATCTGCGCGCGGGGGAACCAGCCGAGCGCTTGGGCGGTGGCCGGTAATATGACTCCGTCGAGGTTACATTTGAAGGGGATGATCGTGATATATCGTGCTGTGCACCACGAGGTGACCTGGGCTTTCTTGGCGGTGGTCTATACGTTGGCGATAGCGAGGAACTGTTTGAAGGAGATAATTGTGATATACCACTCCATGTATTAGCAGACCCCTCTGGCCCTCTTGAAGGTGGTCTGCAGGCTGGTGATGGCGAGTCACCATTCGATGGGGGTAGCTGCGATGTACCCCTTCCCGGATTAACGGGCATCTCTGGGCCTCTTGACCGCGACGCCCCGGATCCGACTCTCGGTAGTTGTATGCCATTGACACCGTCCATTACCGTTCCAGAAACCTTTCCCAACTGCCTCTTCCACCTCTCACCCCTTTCCCTCCAGTTCGACTGCGTGTTTTCCTGTGAGCTCGGTGGCGTGTTTTGGGGCTGCTTTCCACCCGAAGGTTCGGCGGTATGGCCCGACGATGTCTGAATCGATTTAGCATAGCTCCAACTGAAAGCTTGATCACTATGATTACCGTAGTGCTGGACCCGCCAGCCAGTCCTCTTAATAGGAGCGGAAGGTTTCTCCTAGCTGAATTGGTCTCAGGTATAGACGACATAATATACTCCCAAGCTCTCCGCCCCCTTGCGTCCTGGCCGTATCTTTCAGTCACACCAGCTTCACTATCCCTAAACCCAGCTAATAACATCCCAAAACCCATCTCGATATCCTATCAATCAGTGAGTTAAATTGCCACTCTTTAGGATATGGCGAGAATACCTCCGCTGTCATTCTCCCGAATACTTTACTTGCGTCAAACTCTCTGGGAAGTCCGGAACGCAGATCTAGATCTGCCTTTGCACCGCTACCCTTAAGAATCATGACGACGTTATCAGCTATCCCCTTGGCCCGTCTAGCCATCCACCTTCCGCCGACTTGTCTGATTTTTTCATTGGCCCAATTTTGCTTCAACAATGCAAAATATAGGGGCGGCAGTGGGCCTAAATTTGGGTCCGCGCCTGCTGCAATCATCATATTGATAAGATCTTGCTTGGGGTATACCACTGCAACCCCTAATGGGGAGACGCCCATTCTATCGCAGGCATTTATGTGTTCTTCCCCTGGCCATAGTTCTCGCAGATATTGGAAGATACCCCTCGTTTCTGTAGGGGCCTTTTCCGCATCCATACCCGCCGCAGCGATAGCATGGAAAACATTCCTTCCGAGACCCGGAGAGCAGATAAATGACGGAGGCGGTCTTTCCGGGTTTGACTTGCATGTCATCAAGTATTTTATACCCTTTAGTGGCAGAGGAATCTCTAAGAATCGGGCCAAGTTAGTATAGCCCTCGTGGACATAGTCCCGATCCGCGCCATGTTGGAGGAGAAGATCAGCAACCGGGTAGTTGCCTTCAAGGACGGCCACACTAAATGGTGTGCGTCCCTTTTCATCTGTCCGATCTACCAGCGCTCCATACTCCAATAATTGTTCTGGAAAGAACAAATCCCGATGACCTGCAATCGCACAAATGTGAAGGTAGCTTGCATGATGCCACATAGCCGGAAGTGAATAGTGTACGTCCGCTCCATGACGAAGAAGCACTTCGAAGACGTCCCTGTATCCCATGTTGATCACCTCCATCAGTGGAGTTTTGTTTTGATAAATAACCTCGAGATGTTTCTTCGAGGGTGTGTGGGCTAGAAGGTAGCTAACCACCCTTGGGTAACCTGCTAGAGCAGCATAGTGAAGTACTGTGTACTGCCCGCGCCCGTTCATATCTCTATAATTGACAGCTTTGTATTTATGCAGCACTTGAAGAGTGGCTACCTTGGCATTCTCATGGTCTCCCCCGTGTTCTTTAATATTTTCCAGGCGGTTTGCGGGACCAAGGACAGTTTCCGCCAACGGCTCAGATGCAGAGTCTTCCGATGAAATTCTACGACTTGATGCCGCTACCATCATATCTAGCGCTTCGGCACGACTAAACAAGCAAGCCAAACGAATGGCCGATATACCCTCGTCTTTGGCATAGGGATCAGCACCGAGTCGTAGAAGAGCCCTAATGCTAGCTATATGATTTCTCCGGACTGCGTAATGCAACGGGGAGTGGCCCCAAAATCCGTGCTCGCCGCTCCGTGGATTTTCTATTGCCCATTCATTTACATCTGCGCCGCTTCTGACCATCAGCTCGGAAACGGAGTCAATACGTTGTTCATCGAAAAATGGTAGAAAATGGATCGGGCCTTCTCCGAAAATGCTCGTTTTGTCTGCCTTGGCTCCCGCTTCAACGAGATACCTAGAGACTTCATAATGCCCCGCCCTGCCGGCTTGTAGCAAAGGTGTCTCCCCTAGGCGGTTGATAACATTGACGTCTATGCCCAAGCTTATGAGACCTTTGACCACTTCCAGATAACCTGACCGAGCAGCGCAATGCAACAATGTGTCCTCATCTTCTGTAACATGAATATCGCACAGTTCAACACCAGGCGAGTTCTCGATTGCGTCTGCTATTCCTTCCAGACTGCATACATCTACCCACGGGAACAACGCGGACCGCTCTAACATACCCATAGCCCCTCCACATTCACGGAATAGCGCAAGAGTCTCATCGTAAGCGTCGGGGTAGTACTTTTTTAGGTCTTCAAATGCTGTGTGCGATCCTTTTAATGCCCCCTGTCGTAGTAGTGCTTGGAATGGAACCTCTTCATCAAGTTGAACACCCAAGGCGTCTAAAATTCGACCGACTAAGTGCCCTATCCCATCGTATCCCCCACTATCCGCATAATGTGACAGCCATGCTAGCGCCATATCCGAGGCACTAGGAATTCCGGCGCCATAGCGATTGAGAAGTAGTTGAAATAGCTGGAAACTGGCTTGATGGGCGTGTACCGAGTTACTGGACGCAACTGCTTCTAGAGCATGAAGGATGGAAGCTCGCACGCAATAACTATCCTCCTTCATGCAGTTGGCGTCAAATACAATCTAGTGAAGTTAGCCCACTGCAGACTGATGGGATAGAGATAAAATTAACATCTTCGTAATCAAATTCTTCCAGCAGGGTGACTGGGGAGATATCCTCGGTATTCCCTGTAAGCTCGCAAAGCTTGATTACGGCACTCTCAAGATTCCGCTGTGTCGGTAGGTATTGTAAAGTGAGTTCCAGCACCCCACAAACAGCGTCGGCTTCTGAGGCATCGCAGCGCTCGCATAACATTACTGCCACTAGTGAGAGAAATTCAGGGTCTTTCTTGAGTTCTTGGGATCGTGACTCAATATCCACCCCGTCAGACTTGAACGGGGCGATCTTGAATGGATTGATGCCGCCAAGCATGACACGGAAAACTAGCATCCCGAAGCTATAGACGTCCGTGAATTTCAGGTGCTCTCTCTCGATAACCTCGTCATATTCAGGGGCGTTCCAGGGAATCGTGTGCGCCGGTAAACCCCTGTGCTCGTCGTCCCTGAAATCCAAGACTGAAGATCCAAAGTCACCAACCTTTCCAACCATCCTTCCTTTCTCCGCTGACCAGAAAATGAGTATATTCTCAGTCTTCACATCCCCATGCACTATACCACTTCCATGAATAGCCAACAATGCCCTTCCAGCGTCTTCACAGAGTTGCATTTTCTCCAAAAACTCCATCTCCGGCTTCCCCCTTTGGTAGTCTTTCAGTGTACCTTCTTCGGAGTACTCCAGCATAAACAGTGGCCAGGCGACATCATGATGATTAAGGTCCGGTTCCCACCCAACCCCCAAAAGCGTGATAATGTTAGGATGAGATCGCAACGGCTGATGCGTAAGGGCCCGGATCTCCCTAACCGAAGCATTGTATAAGCTCTTCTTCGCTTTCTTGTTATTACGGTCATCAACAAATCTCAATCCCTTCACCACTAACTTGTCGCCAATATCGTATCCCGCGCACCCATTAATAAAGTCCCGAAACGTCGCTTGAATAGGATGTAGCGAAACCTTGAACGACATCCCCTCACCCAGGGTATCTTGCCCGGCCATTGATATGTTGCCATAAGTATGAAATTCGTCGTTTTTTGGCCACACCCTACGCACAAGCGAGAATAAGTGAAGAAAGTCTAGTGGTCGTTCATAACTCTGCACAGGCGCTTGCGCTTGCGGGGCCGTAATTTCCGTGCTACCGCCGGCACGAACTGTTTCTCCTAAACTTGAGGGTTCCGGAGAGGGTCTATGGGAGGACGATGAGGAAGTTCGCTCCTTGTCCCTTCCTGCCCAATTAGGTGTGCTCC